AGTGAAAGATTAAGTGATATGTACTCGGGAACTAGATCCCTCAGATTAGCAGTTTTAGTTTTAGATAGTCCGATATGTTTAGTGGGTCGCTCCCCTGAGCTGTCGGATTGGCGCCATTGAGTACATATCACGGGCCCACAGTTAAAATTAGCCACAAAGAGTTTACAGAAAGTTTAATGAGATCTCTTTCAGAAAGTTTTACAGAAAGTTGTTTTTGAGATCTCTTCAGAAAGTTTTACAGAGATGTTTTGAGAAAGAAATTTTGAGATCTCTCCGACAGTTATGAAAAATTATTTTAGAAAATATTTTCCTTTTGAGATCTCACTCAGAATGTATTTGAGAAGTTGTGTGTTAGTTATTTGTTCAGTACATGCTTATAGCCTAAATTTATCTATTGATAAATTGGCATAGACTTCTATATATTTTTTTGTGGAGCCATAGTGACTTACTAAGCGTAAAGCTTATCAGTTTCTTTCTTCGCATGTACAGATACTAAGGGTAAGGCCAAGGCCTAGGAAGATGACGAGGGAGTGGAACGCGTGCCAAGATGAGTTAACGGGAACGACCTTGACGGCTTCTAGATAGTTATTATTTTGTTTCAGTATTTCAGTTGCTATAATAAAGAGATTATTTTTACTTTATTTTATTTAAGGATTTGAAGTTTGAATAAATTCCTGGATCCAGGTGGTTATCACATTTGCTGGTGATAACTAGATTTTATTAAGTTTTTATTTGGAGTTGCTTTAGTTACTTTTGAGATTTTATCAGGGTTAGTTTCTTAAATAGACGGCCGTTATATTGCAGTTTATTTTAAAAGTAGTATGCTAGTGTAGCGTTTCCTTTAACCCTGAGAGGGGCGTTACAGGGCATCCGATAAATCATGTCACTTAGGATGTTTTCTTTTGAACTGTTTTCAGTTCCAGACCAGATCAGATTAGACCAGATTTGACTTTCATAGTTATAAAATACGCACATACCAGACGTTTACCAGATCAGACCAGATCAGCAAATTTCAGTCCAAAAGAAACATCTAGCTGACTACATCTATCTTCGTTATACATTGTTGTGGTTGGATATTGAGGTCATCGCTCGCTGTCACCATTGACTGTCGCCGTCGATACTCGATGTCGGTGCTCTCCGTCACCGTCGCCGCTGGCTGTCGCTGCACATCTTTCGCATTGCCGCTGAGCTCTGAGAAGAAGCGCATCAACCAAAAAATGTGAGAGAGCGCATCAGCCAAAGAAACGAAGGATAAACTAGGGTTGCAAGGGCATTATGGTGCATTATTGTATACTCCAATTTGTTTTTTTTTTGTGATTTTTTTGTCCAAACAAAATTTAGTTATTGAGAATTTTAGGTCGGTTTCTTGATTATGCTATCCACAAACAAGAATTTTCTTCTCGCTTTCAATGAAAGCATAATAGCCCGAGCCCAGACTACATAGTTACCACCAGTAAGTATGACGTGGGTTATCACGTTACCGGGTTGATCTCCAGCACCCAAATAATATGGAGAAGCAATCTTCTCATCACCGGACATGACAGAAGAATTCTACAATGCTGGTGTAGCTACCAGTCTTGTTCGATGAAGCTCAATGATCAATCGGGGAGGTCTTCGCATGTCAAACGCATACGGTATGTCAAGCGTGAGGGTCTGATACCATGAGAATTTTAGGTGATGTTTTTATTATCTTTCATTACGTATCAAGTAGTATAAATATACAACAATAGCATGGGCGTCCCCCTCCTGAACCACCGCCAGTGAAGAAACAAGCGGCTAGGGTTTGGATGCTTCTTTTAGTTAATTTTGTTGTTTTCATTTGTTATTTTATTGTTCAGCACTTTGAATTAATTTCTGCTTTGTGAACACTAGAGGTAGTTTCAATTCCGTAGTTGTTTTATTCAGATTAAGTCTGTGGGTGGAAGCAATAAGGCTTGTTTGGCCGTTAAAAGCTTCGAAGCTCTCACATGGTTCACGAATAGTCTCGCTCTTTGCGAGGTGATCTATTCTATGTCTAGCCAGAGAGTGGGAGGACCTTTTGTCTATGCGGAGCTTCATGAGGAGGTTTGGCGATGTTTGTTTGGAAGTACTTTGAGAATTTGGTTGCTATAATATAACTAGTTTTCTTTAAAAACAAACAATAGCATGGGCCTAAAAATGAGCCCTGCGCACTAATACAAACTAAACAAATAATGGGCTAAACTAATTTACAAAATATACAAAATAATTCCAACGGTCATATTCTTGTCCATGCTAACTCCATTAATAATATTTTTTCCATTTTTCAAGACTTAAATATTCAGAGATGAATGAAAAATATTTAAAATCTCAAATAAATAAGATTTGAAGATTCAAAAATTTGAAAAACCATTCCAATATCTGAAGAATTAAAGTTTAATTCTAGATTAAATTCTTAAATTAAATTTCTTTTCTTAAGTGAAGAATAAGAGAATTATATTTAGAGATTTTATTCTATATTTCTTATATATTTGATTTGAGATTAATTTTAAGTTCACACTTAAAATTTGAATCACAACGGAAATTTTATTAAAAGTCATTCAATTCTCCTTCAATAATTTTCTTTCTTGGAACATGGGAATTTCTCTCTCTAGGGTTCGGTAGCTTCTCGCCGCCGCCTTAGCGTAGGTCGAGTTTTTCCCTTCTTGCTTTTCATTCTTGGTTTCGGTCTTCTTCGAATCAAAGGTGGGGCGAGAATGCGGTTTGGGTCTACTTCTATCGCCAGGCATCGAGGAGTGCAGGGGAAGGCTTTTGGTTTGTCTGCTGCGGCTTCGAGTTTTGGGACGAGCAGAATTCCTCTCGAAGGGGCATCTAGGCGGACGAATTTTATAACTATGGAGGATGTGGTAGAGCAGTATAGACGTTAGGCTTTGAAGAAAACAACAGGCTGAATTTTGATGATGAGGAGGATCGGAAGAGGTTACCATTCCAAACGCAAAGGCGGCGGAGTTTCCGGTGATGGGAGTCATTCATACCGACCGGAAAGTCAGATTTCAGGCAGTACAGGACCTGTTTGTTCCGCTCTGGAGGCCAGGAAGAGGAATGACGGTTCAAGAAATTGGTGAAAAGAGGTATCTATTAACGTTTAATCATAAAATTGATATGAATCGTGTTATAGAGGATGTTCCTTGGTTGTTTGAGCGAAATCTGTTATTGCTAAAGGTGGTTGGCCCTAATGATATACCACATAAAATGGACTTGTTTGAAGCAGAGTTCTGGGTGCAAGTGCACAATGTGCCGTATAAGTTTATGAATGTTGATACTGCTAGGAGGGCGGGTAACTATATTGGGGAATTTACCAGTTTTGATGAGAGCCACTTTAAGGGAAAATGGAGTTCTTACTTGAGGGTTAGGGTAATGATGGATGTGAGGAGCCCCCTAAAAAAGGGTTCTACTTTGACTAAGGGAGGGGAAGGACACTCGGTTGATTTTAAATATGAAAAGTTACCCAGTTTCTGTTTTATTTGTGGGGTTATGGGACACTCTGAGAAATTTTGCCCATTAAAATATGTGGAGGATCTCGTGTTGGAGAAAAACTTTAGTGCTGATCTCAGAGCAGGTGGTGGGGGAAAGATTAGCCCCACAAAGGGTGGTAAGTGGTTGGTGGATAAACAAGGAGGTCCGAATCATAATAGGAGGGCTCAGCGAGATGACAAAGAAACTATGAGACATGGACACAAGGGGAGTATAGTTGAGACAGAAAGTAGTGGCACAAAGGAAGAGAGTAGAAGCGGTGCAGGGGAGGTCTCGGTTGATCAGAAGCGTAGGAGAGTTTGGAAGGATCCGGCAGAAGAAAACAATATAGAAGAGGAGATGGCACTGGATAACACAAAAAACGGGGAGGAGGCGGGCTTCAATTGCTAGGCCCGCCTGATATGTTCGTGAAGTTGCAGGTGCAGAAGTTCCACGGTGATGCTTATTTTATTATTGCTTGTTTTGTTTCGTTTGACGTTCAGACTGTTGTTTTTGTTTGTTGTTTTGTTTACTATTGTAAGACTCTTGCATTAGACTCGGGTGATGAGAGTGCTACAGTAACCATTGTTGGCTCAATTATGCCCAATTTAGGATCAGGGAATTATACTGCTTCCTTGAAGGTGGTTAATTCAGAGTCTGGCCCAATGGCGGATGGTTATCGGTGGTACTCTTGTTATTTTAGATCCTTGCTAAATGCTCTTATTCTAATATAAACCCCCTTCATCCAAAAAAAATAATTATCTTTCTTGATTAAGTAGTTAATGAAGTTATTTTCTTTTCTCTTCTAGGGTGGGTTTTCACCACTAGGGTTTCTTCTTCCGCCATCAATTGTGGCTGTTTTTCTTCTTTTGCTTTGGCGAGATTAAGCAGAGGGAAGAGGATGTATGATCAACAGCGGCCAAAGGTTGTGCAGGGATGAAAGATGGATGTTTGGTCTCAAGCGGCCAAAGGTCATGGACGAAGCATGGGGCTAGCTGCTGGAACAGATCTGGAGTCGAGCTCATCCATGTTAGGTGGCAACAGAGGAGATTTGATGGAGAACATGATGAAAAGGAGACAAGGTAAGAAAGAAGCTAAAGTACTACTAGATCGTCCCCCTCCCGAACCGCCGCCATGGAGTGCAGAAGAGTCCAGGGTTTGGAATCAATTTTTTAATTTTACTGTTTGTTTGCGATTTATTTTTCATGATCAAAATGTTTATTCTGTTGGTTTCTTTTGTTGTTGTAAGACTCTTGCATTAGGATTGGGTGATGGAAAGTCTGTTTTTTTGGCTCATTTATGCCCATTATAGGATTAACGAGTTATATTGCTTTTTTGGAGGTGATTAACTTTAAGTCTTGTTCGAGGGTTGACGATTGCATGTGGTCCTTTTGTTGTTTTACCCCTTATCTGAATATGTGATAGTCATCCATTTTGACGATAAAAAAAGTAGCTAATGAAGTTCGAGTACTTTTTTTATTGATGATAAAAGGTACTACACATGTCCCTTAAGATTGGCACAAGTGGTGTAGTTATTAAAAAAAGTGGAATTGTGTAATTAATATTGATATGATAAAGTGTAAATAAAATAAGAATGAATTACAATCACTCAAATATTATCAAATATAATCAAATATAGTATGAGACATACTAATATACTAGATTTGGACTTGGGATTTCTCTTCAACAAAGATCTCCTCATCTAATACTTGTTATACAAGATCTCGTGAGTTGTATCCCTTTCTTAATATGGTCCGGAGAAAACATGTCAGATTCAGAATCACTTAGCAGGATAATAACACCATCATCTTCATTTTGACATTTGCCCATTCCAATGCCTCGTGGAGGAGGGGTCAACAGATCAATCACTTCTGTTGTATTCCCTCCAACGTCATCGATGTCTTCTACACAAGAAAAAACACGGCTTGGCTGTGAAGGACTTGTGAGGTCAGTCACCTCATTTTCAGATGATGCAAGTCTTGCTGACATTGTGTTGAGCTGCAGATTGTCATCTGTTGGATTCGACATGGTTATCCGGTTTAAGACGGTTGTGTTTTCTTGATCAAGTTCTAGCAGGAGCGCTTGGAGCTTGGAGTCGAGTTCTTTGGAGGAGGGAGTGATGTTTTCTACTTTTCTCCGTGTTGGTTTCTTATTGTTAGGCTTCTTCCTTTGAGCTCTTCTTTCCTGAAACTCCATTACCTTTTCAGGGCAAGCACTGAAGGAAAACAAAAACAAAGGAAAACAAAAACAAAGGAAAATCAATCAGGGAATAGGAGGCCAGATTAATATTACTTGCAGACTTGCAGTCTGTGGCTAATATCTATAGTTTATACTGATAATATTTTTGCATGCAGTTCACATGATGATTATGGGAAATGAGCTCGAACTATCATTTTGTTCCAGGATAATGTTTAGCACCAGTCCAATCAATTCTTCTGTTACATTCTCTTTAATGTTCCATTTGTTTCAGGGATCCTTTTTCCCAGGGAACTGCTCCAAAGATTTTCTATGTTTGGCGCGGAAATTTTTTCATAACAAACAGGAAGTCGATTTCCTGATCAAACTTTAGGTTTCAAACTAAAGTTTGTTGTGTCTCAAAGTTTATATCACATCTAAAACAACTAATCTTCCAAGAGAATAATTTTCATTGATATTTCATCATTTTCAATGGAGCCAAAGACTCACTAATTTTTGGCTTGAGAATATAATGAAATAAAGCAAAATGGTTCACTAAACTTTTTGCGCTTCTTTGTCATGAAGCAGCAGTTAGTCCATGCAATTTTCAACACAATTTTCATATGGGTCGTCCCGAAACAGTCTGCTGGCATACATACCTCTGTACAAGATCTGCTGGAACTATGGATTTCTCTAGTCCGTGGACTCCTTCCCATGATACTTCAAAAAGGTGTCTTCCCTGAGCTTTTCTTTCTTTTATAATGTGACACTTAATGGGCATCTGTTAATTATTCATATCCATAATGATTCCCTTGAAATATTGTCTAGTAACATAAGAAATACAAACAATGTAACTACCACTCTTGTACTAAACACCAACTGAGTTAGCTTCTAATGCAAAAAAGCGCATGTGATACTTTTTTACTATGCCTACATGTACATTTATTTTGTGCATTCTTAGTTGGCATATGTGTATCCAACCTATGTATTATGTTTATCATCGATATAGTTATTTGTTCATCCGAAAATGTAGCAGCTTCTATAGATAAGTAGATAACCTACCATGTCCAAGGGAACCTGGAGTCCCACTTTGGATGAAGCAGAACGCAAATTAGAAAACCGTCTTAACTCTCTTTCAGCAATCTTAGGGAGGATGTACTCATCTGGGGCAATACAAAAAGATACAGCAACAACCGTGACTTGTTGGAGGAGGTCACTGAGATAGAACTGCAGAAAAGAAAACTTGCTTTTGGTTTATTAACAGAAATTACCTGTTTTCTCTGGAGGCCATTCAAAGTACTTTGCACATATCTGCTGAAGTTGACTTCGATCAAATGGATTTAGTGCAAGAACACTAAAAAAGAGAAGCATATGAAAATCAAAACCAACAAAATTCAGAAAAAACGCTTTTATTATTATATTGAAACACAAAAGTTTACCTCTGAACAACCTCAGAGTCCGCTGAATGACATCTAGGCTCCAAATAAGCATTTACCACTTGCAATACTTCATCATCGCTTTGCAAATCACATCCACTTCCTATGAACAAAAAATATTTTGATACATAGAGGCAAACAAAGACGTTTAAGCTAGTTTGGTAATATTCCAACTTTACTCTTATGTGTAGTTTTTATTTTGTAAACGTTTGTTTATGTTATTTTCTTCCAATCTCTTAAGTATCTATGTTTGGTTCGTCTGGTTTGTACACATGGTGATTTATATTCTTTCTTATGAAAACATTTTTTCAAGTGAATAATGTAAAATTGAAAAATGTGTTCTGTCTCAATTTTTTTGTTTCAGAAGCTGAAATTAAAAGGCAATGCACTTAAATAAGTTTTTATTGTTTTCGTTTAGAAGAAAGTGAAAATGAAAAACAAAAGCATTTCCAAATGGCACCTCAGTACACAAATATATGTGTTTCTTTTTTTTTGTGCTCATACTCGGGTGGGAAAATGGGGAAGGGAAAATAACCTTCTGGACCGCCTTTATTAACAGGAAAGTTCTCTTTGTCATCAGAATGCACAGCTTTGATATGCCTTCTTGAATTTTTCTTCTTCTTGAGAAAAGGTAATAATCCTTCTGATGATATTCGTTGAAGAACAGCAGTGTCACCTAATGATTTAACAATCTGGCAAGCAGACTCCTATATATACATCCATGAACTTATTATTTTCACAATTGTAGAGAAAGAGTGTTCAGGTCCTTCAGGCTTCAGGAACAGAAATGAAATATAAAGTGGAGGATAACATACCCTACCAAGCCCAAGAATTCCTTGTGAGTAATCCCCTCCAAGAATAACACCAAGAGTAATCTGCAAACATGCAGTTTCACATAAGCTATCACTTTATTAACCTTGAAACAACCAAGGAAAAAGCCCAAAGTGGAACTCATGCTTGACATTTGTTCAGAAACAAAGATCTAAGATAAACCGCCCAATGATTCCTATATAAAATTAACTTTTTAGGATGGCGCAAAAACAAAAAGTGTTAAAAGTTTTGAGAAAGAGGGAATAATCAGAAACTCACAACAGTCACAAGGAAATGTCCCATTCTGATATTTGGACACAAACTTCAAGGCTGTGTTTGGATCCCAGAAAATTGCAGGGCAATGGGAAAGTTGTGTGGATGAAAATAGTTATGTTAGGTTGTACTTGTGGGAAACGCAAAGAAAGTTCAAATTTGTTTAAAACTTTTTATGTTTTCACATGTCTTAAGATTTCATATTCTTTATATTTAATACAAAGAGATAAACAAAACGAGTTGAAAGTTGAAACAGATATCTCCAAATTCATTTATTGAGCTTGAACTGCTTTTTTTCTTCCCAAATTCTCCACCTGCTTTATCCATATAGAATTTTCAGGCTTCCAAACAGATCCCAAGAGAGAGATATGTGAGAGAGAAGATTTGTGCAGACCTAAAAGATTGTCAAGGAAAAAAGATCTAAACTTTACCAATGAGTTCCTTCCAAACCCCAGTTTTCTCTCAATATCATCCATTTCATAGCAAACAACATAGCCACCTTCACCTAAACAGTTGCAAATGCTTAGTAGCAGTACAGTACAATAGTACATCACCATAGCAAAATACATTATGTAATATCCACTCACACATAACACAATCCCAATCCTACCAAGGCAAATATCCCTATACACAGTCCTTGCTCCAAACAGGAATGCATCAGAATCTGAAGTAAAACATCCATCCTGATAACATGACTGCAGTCAATATACAAATAGATTTGCGGTGCTATAAATTACATGTTAACTGGAAGGTTTAAAGTAAATGCAAAATAAATAGACTCTAATACGAGTATAAGAAGAAACGAACAGAGTGATGGCTAATGGATTTGTACTAACTCAACTGCATATACTCACACATAAAGATTCTGAGTTCAATAATGCACACTGTGCTTCAGCCTCTTCAATCCTGAGAATATCCCAAAATACATTAATGGACCATAAAAGACATAATCATCAAGACTCAGATTCCGAGTTCAATAATGCACATTTCAGATGCTTATTCAAATAGATACATCAAGGTGAACACAATATTCTTCTAACACTTTAAATTTTACCCATCTAAGCAAGAAATGCCAAGTGCCTTGCCAAGAACTTTAGCCTCTTTTATCACGCTTGAAAATGCAGATCCACGGTTTCTTTTAATCGATGTAAGTATCTGTAGGTTTGGATCCTCCTGAGAAAGCTAAATTCTTTTAAACTATGCAACAAGATACACACAGGAAGAAAACAGTTCAATGAAATCAAACATGTGTGGAAAATTCCAGCATACTTTTAATCTCCGCCTGTAAGTTGCAGATTTGATCGCAGGAATCGCTCCATCTTGAAAATAAATATTTGTGTGAGAAATGTGATTGGAATGTTTCCCCACGCAATATGCAGATTCCAAACCCACAAACCAAAAACTTAATATAATTATTTACCCATGAATGATCCCTTACAGCTGTTGAGATATTTTTAAGATAACGAAGAAGGAAATGCATTCAAACAGAAGAATATACTACCAAAGCCGAAAGTTACCCAACATGTTAGGAAATTCAGAATCATAATCTGGATTCGGGTGTGAAATCAACTCTCATTGAGTCTCAGTGCACTAAGCCTACTACTACTTAGGTACTTCAACTTACTATAATCAGTAACCACTATAAAAAGGTCTACATTGGCATCACCCTGTAACCTTCACCTTTACTTGAAATTCATAGCCCACAAATATCTTAGTTGAAAAATCTATAACGTAATCATTTCTAATCAGCTACATAGTTGGAGTCTTTTTAAGCATTGCATTCTTTGTTTTTATGAATAAAGTAATAAAGATGCAAACTTTGTAATAATAATAAAAAAAAGAATAGGAAAAAACAAGCCGAGAGTTGATTAGCATTAGAGAAAGGAGGTGGTGTTGTACCAGTAACGAAGATGACGGTGCAATTTAAAGCAATGAGAGCTCTGAGGCGGTGGAAGAGACCCCTAAGGTAAACTTTTTCTTTGAGAGCGCTATAGGATATGTTAACCTTGAGAAGTTGAACCATCCAGCACGATAAATCTATGCACACTCTCTTGTTCCTTGGTTTATAGTACACACACAATTATTACTATTACTATTACAAATATACTAAAAGATTCAGAGCATTAGTGGATCTCGTGTCTGCGAAGTGATGATGATAACTTACTGGAGATGGTGAAGAGGGAGAGTTTTCTTGCACGAATCCAAGATGTCCCACAGGTTCTTCACACCCATCTTTCTCTTGCCGCCGGTTGGCGAAGCTATTGAATTTGGGTTTGTCTCGTTCCAGATTTTGAATTCTTGATATGAAATACGGACCGTTGCAGACTAGGTGTTCAAATTTCCGATGGAGGCTGAGCGCTGAGGAGCTGTTTATTCGTCTTATGGTTTAAATATGGTTTATTCGTCTTATGGTTCAAATTTCAGATAAATGTTTCTTATCTAAATTTTTTAAGTTCGGATCTGATTTGATCTGAATTTTTCTGATCTGATCTGATCTGATCTGAATCTTTCTGATCTGATCTGAATGTTTCTGATCTGATCTGAATGTTCCTGATCTGATCTGAATGTTCCCGATCTGATCTGAATGTTCCTGATCTGATCTGAATGTTCCTGATCTGATCTGAATGTTCCTGATCTGATCTGAATCCTTTTGATCTGATCTGAATATTTCTGATCTGATCTGATTTGAATATTTCTAAAATTATAATTACAATTATAATTACTATAATTATAAATGTAATTACACATATATAATTTAAATATAATTATAATTATAATCATAATTATAAGAATTATAATTATAATTAAACACATAATTATAATAGGTATATTTATTATTATATGTATTACACTAGTTATAAATATAGTTATAGTTATAATTGTAATTATATTTATAGTTATATTTATTTCTATAATTATAATTTTAATTATAATTATAATATTTATTTCTATAATTTTAATTGTAATTACTCCGTATAATATGATAATAACGAAAACAAAACTAATAACAATAACAACAACAACCATATTAGTAGTAAGAATATTAATAATCATGATAATAATAAATATCATAATAATAATAATGATGATGATGATGATGATGATGATGATGATGATATCAATAATAATATTAATTATAATAATTACAATAACAATAATAATAATAATAATAATTATAATTATTATAATTATTATAAATACTATTATAATTATTATTATAATAAAAAGGATGAACCATGTCTAAACTTTTCTGATCTGGTCTGAATGTTCCTGATCTGATCTGAATGTTCCTGATCTGATCTGAATGTTCCTGATCTGATCTGAATCTTTCTGATCTAATCTGAATCTTTCTGATCTGACCCGTTTTGCACCCATGTGGAACCGACCTGACCCGTTTTTGACCCATAACTTTGGGCGGGAACACTGTTCATTTTGTCCACTTCCTTTTGTATAATAGAAGATATACGAAGTATTATACTACCTCCGTCCCGTTGGAATGTTCCCACTTTCATTTTTTGGATGTCCCAATGGAAAATTCTCATTTCCCTAAATGGAAAGTTATCCTACATCAAAACAGTGCAAAACAGTGTCAAACAGTGTCAAAACAGTGTCCAAACAGTAAAATTTACCTCTGGTAAGTTTATTTCCTTAATATGTGTAGGTCAAACCGGGAACATTCCAACGGGACGGAGGTAGTATATTAATAGCTTTAGTTTTGGGAATTCAAATAGGGGCAGGAGGCTGGCAGCACCATAGCACGACAATTGGTTCACATCACATTACATTCCCACTTCCCGCTCAAATTTTTGATCCTCTATTCCGTTTTAATATATATATATATATATATATATATATATATATATATATATATATATATATATATATATATATATAGAGAGAGAGAGAGAGAGAGAGTATAAATAAAAATGTAAATTTAAAAAGAGTATTTAAAGTTTTTTTTATTAAAAGAGTATTTTTGTACAAAAACCGAAATATGTAAATTTAAAACCTAAGAAATGTTATAAATATATAAATTTATAAAATTCAAAGTTCATAGAAAATCTTATAAAATAAAAAACCGAAAATAAATTTAAAATAAAAAACAGAAAATAAAAAAGTGTAAAAATAAGAGCTAAGTAATAAAATGTGAAAAGTGAAAATAAAATTAAAAAAATATTACTCCGTATACAGGAATATAAAAATCAGAAACCTATTGTAACCTAAGAGTGTAATATTAAAATAAATCAGAGAATGAAAAAGAGTAAAACAATGAACTTTAGAGAGAGAGAAAAGTTTGAAAAATAAAGAATACGAAATTTATAATATAATAATTATAAAAATTCTTATACGAAAATTAATGTAACTTAAAAAGTGTGTACATTTAAAAAAAATCTCAGAGAATTAAAATATGAAAAATTAAAATGATGAACATGAGAAATAATTACATATTCAAAAAAGACAAGAAGTACGAATTTTCTAATGTAATTGTTCTTAAAGAACTTAAAATTTTAATTATTAGTATTTTCAAATTATTAACAGTTTTTGTTTCTTATAGTTTCTTTTTGTTGATAATTCTGAAAATTATGTTTTTTATTGTTTCATTGTGTTTCGGTTTTTTCATATTCATAAATCAAAATTTAATATTTTAAGTGTTTGTATCTAAATGGTTTAGAATTAACCTATATACATATTTATATTTTAAAGATGTAGAAAAATAAATAAAAATCTAAATAAACATTAAAAATTAAAATCAACAATAAACAATCATAGGAAACACGGTGCAACAAAAAGTAACAATATGCAACAAAATGAAATACATGTTGTACAACAAAAAGCAACAAAAAAAAACACAATACAATACATGTGTGTTGCGGTTTTAGTTCGGTATTAGGCTGGAAAAAATCTATCGTATCTTCCTTCATCAGTTTACAAAGTATATATATACATATGTTGGCCGAGAAAATAAGCCCTCAGCCCAAAGAAAGAATAAACAAGGCTAGACTACAAGAAATAATTTACAAGCCCATTTACGGTTTAACACCCCCTCAAGTTGGAGCATGTGGATTAAAGATGTCCAACTTGCTCGGGTATGTTTTAAGTTCTCTGGTTTACGTGGGTATGTTGTTTTCTCATTGCTAATTATGCAAAAGCCAATATTGGGACAATGAAGTCCTATCGATTGTTTAAGGAATTTGTTGGTGGCTATGCAAACATTGGGGCAACTGCCGTTGACTTCAAAAACTTCAAAAGAGACCTCAGAGCATACATTGAAGGTGTAGATGCACAAATGCTCATTGATAAATTGTTTAAGAAGCAAGAGTTGTGTTCAACATTCCTTTTCGAATATGATGCTGACGAGAATGATCAGTTGACACGACTGTTCTGGTGTGATCCTATAGCGAGAAAGAATTACGCATTCTTTGGGGATGTCATTTCGTTTGATGCGACCTATGGGACAAATAGGTGTGATTATGTTTCCTGTTAAATATTTCATAAATTTATTGCTACTTTATTGTTTGTTAATGCACTTTTTCATCACTCAGTAGCATTTTAAACACCTGCACTTACAATTTTTTTTCTAGGTACAATATGATTTTCACGCCCTTCACAGGTGTAGACAACCATAAGAAATGCATCACTTTTGCTGCTGGTCTTCTATCTAAGGAGGATGTTGAGTCGTATGAATGGATTTTTACTCGCTTCCTCAATGCAATGCATCGTGAACCTAATTGCATAGTTACTGATCAAGATCCTGCTATGCGTATTGCCATCGAGAATATTTTCAAACATGCACGTCACAGATATTGCGTGTGGCACATTATGAAAAAGGTTACTTCAAAGGTTGGCCCCGTGTTGAGTCATAATGAGGATTTCATGTCCAAGATCAATTCTGTAGCCATGTGACTTTTAAAGTAGATGGTTGTCTGTTATGAAAGAGTTCGACTTGGTTAATAATGAATGGTTCTCACACATGTTCTTTATACGTATGTTTTGAATCCCATCATATTTTAGGGATTTATTTATGGGTGGTTTACTTAGAACAACTTCAAGGTCTGAAAGTGAGAATCGTTTTTTTGGAGAATTCAGTAATCCACATTTCAGTTTAGTTGAGTTTTATATGCAGTATGAAAGTGCAATGGATTCGCAACGTCATACGAATGATAAACTGAATGGAAGTTCTGATTGTTATGTTCCAGATTTTAAAACTCCACTTGCACTTGAGAAGCATGCATCTGAGATATACACAATCTCTATATTTTATGAAGTTCAATCACAAATTTGTGATGCATGCTTTTCTTGTTCTGTCTCACGAGTGACACAAGGTGATGGAAATGTCGTTTACGACATTAGAGATGAGCGGAATAGGTTGTCCACTGTCATTTTATGTGTTGAAGATAACAATGCAACATGTACTTGCAAGTTCTTCGAACGTTGTGGATTAATATGTTCACACATATTTCTTGCACTGAAAGACCGTAAGCTAGATCAGATTCCATCTCACTTCATTATGTCCCGTTGGTGCAAGAAACATCTTCTCAAACCTTTGTTTTCCATTGATGATTCTATTCTACAAAACTGTGTTGGTATAGAAGAGAATAAAGCTGTTATTAATCAGTTGTGGTCAGACATTCACGCATGTGTTGCAATGGCAGAGACCAAACCTCTTCATCTTAAAGAACTAGCTCAATTTGTGAAGGAACAAAAACAAATTCTCATGTCTTCTCTTGATCCCCATGGCATTTCAGCATCAAAAGATGGTGTCATTCAAGGTTTCTATGGGTCATCTGCACCATCTGAAGTGACTATTCTTGCTCCTCAAGTTTCCAGGAATAAGGGCTCCGGTCGCCGAATTAAAGGTGCGAAGGAGGTTGCCATTGAAGAAAACAAACGACCAAAAAGGTTGTGCCGTGCATGTAATCCAGATTTGTCACTGGAAGGGTGTATAGAAGAAGCATTACAGTCATCTTTCAAAGAAGTGGAGTCATTCTTAAACCCTTCACGATTACAAACCACATATTTCAACAAAACTGTGCCATCTCTAGCCTTTGAAGACGTACCAAGACGAATTGAAAAACCACATAAAGATGCGTATTCTTTATAAAATGAAATGGCATCTTCAAGACTATTGAAGAACTTGCCAATTATAGGTTTTCTTTCTAAATCACACTCAGGAATCCAGTATTTGGTCATGTCAGGAGAAATCTGAAAATTACAATGACCAGCTGCATAGAGAACAAGAGAATAATACACATGAATTAAAGCAAACTGAATGCTACACTGTAATGTGTGAAATATAATAAAAATGTAGCAGCAAAATATGCAAGTATAACAACATACATCCACAATAGTGATCTAAATGAATCAATACCAAAACAATATACATCAGCTCGTAATGAATAAAATAAGAAAAATAATATTGACTTAGTCTCAATAAACTAAAGTTGAAATCAAAATCATGCTAAAAGCAACTGAACTGAATAGACTAAAATACAACATAACTAAAAATGCATAAAAAAGGGCATGATATAGAATTTGATTACAGAATCATAAATAGAATATCAATACAATCGAATAAAACATATATCTAACATCAATCATAGCGATAGGTTCAATAATTCAAAGTTAAACCAGAGAGAGGAAGAAACGACGCAACAATTAGATTTCGAAGTGAACAAAATACAAAAATCTAAATTATATGAAGCATGTGAATAAGAAATACGGATATTACTGTAAAGAATATAAAACATATCAGGCTCCATATTTCCCTTGCGATGAAGAAACGGAAAAACGATAAACACCAAAATTAGATGTCGAAGAATCGCGGAGGTTGATTTATGGAAGTCTGGAAATCGATTTTTGGAAAGATAGATTATCATGTTTTGATTTTGTATTAGGAGATGGATTGGGGGAGAGAGGATGTGCGCAGGAAGCAGAGGACGTGCGCAAGGGGAGAGAGAGAGAGAGTGTGTGTGACTGTGGATAACGAAATAACTGAAAACGTAAATTGACAAAAAAGCCCTTTAGCTAAGAATATATTTAATTAAGAGCAGCAGATCCGATTAGTGAGATGAGTGGCTAGGATTAATTCTCACTTTGTATATAAAAAACACTTTGTATTTGAACTCCCCCCTATATATATACTAGTAAACTTACCCGTGCGATGCACGGTTTGAGAATTTTTCTTTCAAATTTATGTGTGTTTAGTAATTCAAATCACACTATCAATTGATGACTGCATCTATTTTCATGTCAAACTGATATACATCAAAGCATTAAACACAATACACTTATAATATAATGGTCAAAATGGGAGTATTAAGCATTACTTAAAAGATATAACATTGTAAATATGCATTTAATATAAACTTAAACATCGTTGAACACTTCTTTGAATACAACATTTTGAGTCTTGTACGTGGTTCCTTCATCTTCATCAACAATTAGAATCTTCAAACCACAACGTTTAGTAACCCTTGATACTGGAACATCAAACTGTTCGTGAGTAAATATCGGGGTTTTCACCCGTAACACCGTCACCAATGTTGACAATTCAATCTGAAAAGACCTTCACATCATAAAAATATGATGGATTACTCATGTTCTGCAGGTGCATATTTTTTTGTCAAACGAAGGACTGTGCATTCCTACCACAGATATGATGAATTAATCGTCGCATTGACTACATCATGTCTACTCCCATGAGGTATCACCGGCAACACTTGCTGAAAACCAAAGGTTTATATAAATTAATTGAAGGTAAATTATTTGTAATGACTAAGTAATAAGGTGACAATAAATTTACACGAATTGTATTTTTAGACAAATTGCCTCTCTGAATAGGTAAAATAAGGGAGTAAAATATGTGAAAGTGTTATGTTATTCTTGTGGGTAATTGTTCAAATAGGTGATTCTACTATTTCTAATATCCAAGTATGGTCTGGTCTGGTTTGTTTAAGTTTGGTTTGGTCTGAGAATGAAGTAAGCATAAGTATAAACATCTCAAGTAATATGGTGACTATGCATTTATACGAATTGCATTTTTTTACACGAATTGCCCCGGTAAATTGGCAAATCAGGGCGGTGTAAATATGTGAAAGTGTGTTCTGGCATTATTAAAAAATTTCTAATATCCAAGTATGGTCTGGTTTGTTTAAGTTTGGTTTGGTCTGAGACTGAAGTAAGCCTAAGTATAAACATCTCAAGTAATATGGTGACTATGCATTTATACGAATTGCATTTTTTACACGAATTGCCCCGGTAAATTGGCAAATCAGGGGGGTGTAAATATGTGAAAGTGTGTTCTGGCATTATTAAACAATACTCAAACATGATAACTCTTCATCTATGCTGTGAACATATCGAAAAGCATTACTTCTGAGTACTTCTTATTGGCCTTCATCTATGCTGTGAACATATTGTCCTTAACTGAACATGCTTGAACCATTGAATCCAGAGGCTGATCGTCGTGCAAGACAACACTTTGTTCTTCCGGCAAATGGAAGTTCAAAGGTTCAATTGTCGGGGTCTTACATTCAATTTCAAACCCAAATATGCGCCAAGCAGCCTCACATGCAGAAATGTATCTACAGTCATAGTACATTTATATCTCATCGACTGATCGTGCATCGCACGATAAACATTTGAAGTTGTTAATAGGAATGCTTAGGAATCAACACATTTATTTTGGCAATACCAGACTTCAAACATGGCAGTAGTGTCCAAACTTGGTAGTAATTACCCATATTTTGGGAATAAAAACATGTCAGTCATATTTTTGGGATTTTCAAGCTGTTTTAGTCCTATTTCGGGAACTTTCCCATATAAATATAAATATATTGCAAAGTTCACAAAAAGAGATAGATGGAAGCCCAACCCTTAAAGTAAAATGCCCAATTCTAAACACCCCATACCGGCCCAGGGCAAAATTAAAATAGTGGAAGCTAGTGTGCAGCCCTTCATTCAAGATTGTTCTTTGATGAGGGAAGTTGGAGGTGGCCGGTTGCAGGAGAGTGGGTGAGGTCGTGAGGATGCCAGTGTCGAAGGGAACTGCTAAACTGCGTCGGTTCCAGAGACTTGTTTTCATAATTTTCGATTCACGCGCTTCTAGTTAGAGAGAGACTGCGAGAGGTGCGATTAATCTTCGATGAAGAGCCAAACGACCATGGAATAGCCAGCGTCTCTGTAGAAGGTAACGTCATTCTTGTCTTCAAAAATATGATTTCTTTGCTTTAATGGGTAGATCGTTGAGGGAAAGTGTTTTATGCGCAGGGAGACGAAGTCCAAATTGGGCCGAATGATGGACTACTGAGTTTTCTTCCCTTGGTTGGTGACAAAGTGTCTACATATGTAGTCCTGAATCAATCCACTGTTCGTCGAGCTTAAGACTTTTCGCCGTTCAGAGATGAGAACCGTAAGAACACAATATCTCTATTAATACATGAACCATCTCATCGAATAGCTATTTTTCGGAAAATAACCTAATCAGACTTCAATACAAATCAAGACATTCACAACTAACTAATAGATCTAACAAATATGTAGACATTGGTCATTAAATTTTTCATCCGTATTATATATTTAAATTAATCAACAATTTTACAAATATGGTAAACAAACTACTTCAGAAAAATTTAAATTAGATTATACACAAACTACTCCAGAAAAAATTAAATTAGACTTTACACAACCTTCTCCGTATTATCGAAGATTCCATAAGATATAATCAGTGATCGAGACTCCAAATCAAACAATTGCTAATAAACATGCGTTTATTATTAAACACACAAAACTCAAATCTAATCTTTACATTTCTAAAATGTATTATTTCAACTTCAAATGAGAATCCATGCGATTATTCTCTTTCCAACGAGTTATAGAAGTTGTATATAACTGAGCACGTGAATCTTACTTCCCACACTAATATGGTTGTGTGATGTATTCTTCAAAATTCTACCGTAACCAACAACAAAATTCTTCAAAATAAACCTTTGAAACCAAGAACAGAACCCCATAGTGTTCACACAGCTTACACCTTCGCTTAAACTTGAAACCATATAACCGATACTAACTTTTAAACACCTTAAAAGTTTAAAACATCAATTAAAAGAGTCCGGAAGCACCTTAACAATTATGTAGGATCTAAACATAAAAAAATTAAAATTGTGCAACATCAGGTATACAAATTCTACGTAGTTAT